AATGTCCTTTTTTGCTAGGGCTGCAGCTGTGAGGTTAGTTTTGAAATGCACTCAGTGGGCTCCAACCCAAGCAGTGGATTTCAGAATTCCACCCTTATCTCCCTTGTTTTATTTAGCACTCGCCACACAACTATTTCTATATGCACAAGAAAAGCTGTTACAAACAAGCCACTGTCAACAGTGTTTGCAAACTGACATAAGGGTGAACGTGCCCTTTCAAGTGTAGTCATAGCTTTGTGAAAACGCATAATCATTTTTTTTTTTCCACATTCATAATGAGCTGGGAGATAGCTGAGCAAGAGGAAACCGCTTTGGAGCAGGCAGGAGAAACCCAAAACCAGAAGCTGTTTTTATTGAGGTTCTGGTACACGTTCTCCCCAGCCTCCAATAATCCCAACTAAAAAGCGATCCTTTGTACTGCAAAAAGTAATAGATTAAAAGGACTTTCTGTGATCATCACCATGCCTGTTTTTCAGTATACAGGGAAGAAGGTGGTTTATCCTGTGGAGTTTTGAGTTTTATCTTTCTTGTAAGATGTTAACTTGCTGCTGCTTGAACACTTATTTATTTTATTTATTTATTTATTTATTCAATTTGTATGCTGCCCCTCTCCGAAGACTCAGGGTGGCTCACTTACTTGTTGCTTGATTTGTTTTGCTTCTTTTATATTTAAATTGTGAGTGCATTTTCACACAGAAGGATAGCGTTTTGATCGTATCTCTTTCTCCATTGTTCAAGGACAGAGTCCTGCTTTGATTGTGCAACAGGACAGTCCCAGTTGTGGAGAAAAAAAAATTGTTTGGAAACTTTGGGGAATTCCCACCAGAGTGCTCCTGGGGGCCAGGGAGGGCATAAACTACTTTTTCTTGTTTTCCTCTTTGAAATCTTGGTGGGTCTTATACTCCGATGCATCTTATAGTCCGAAAAATATGGTAAATAAAATGGGAATTCTCGGTTCCAAGGAAAGAAACTTTGGCACTCCAGAGGTTTAGTGAAGTACAATTCTTAGTAACCCCAAACAGTATGGCCAATGGTGAGGGAAGATAGATGTTTTAGTTCAGGAACAGCTGGGAGATTGTCTATCTCTGCTGTAACAATGAGCCAGAGAGGTCACAATATAAAAGACTTAGGTGTACTATGAAGAACTAAGGAGAAATTTCCTGACAGTTAGAACAATTAATAAGTGGAACAACTTGCCTGCAGAAGTTGTGAATGCCCCAACACTGGAAATTTTTAAGAAGGGTTGGACTAGAAGACCTCCAAGGTCCCTTCCAACTCCGTTATTCTATTCTATTCTATTCTATTCTATTCTATTCTATTCTATTCTATTCCTGCATGCATGTTCCAGTGGTGGAATTCAAATTTTTTTACTACTGGTTCTGCTGTCATGGCTTAGTAGGTGTGGCGTAGAGTGGCATGGCTTGGTGGGTGTGGCAGGGGAAGGATACTGCAAAATCCCCATTCCCTCCCCACTCCTGGGGCCAGCCAGAGGTTGTATTTGCTGGTTCTCCGAACTACTCAAAATGTCCGCTACCGGTTCTCCAGAACCTGTCAGAACCTGCTGAATAGCAGCCCTGGCATGTTTTCTTTTGCTCTGGATAGCCAGAGAGACCGATCCTCTGGATTTGGGAGGGGAGAAATGAAAAACTAATCATAGAGGGCATTTATAAGGGAATGTGATCTTCAGTTATACCAGGGGTAGGTTCTACTTACCTTTACTACCGGTTCACAACGGGAGCACTCATGCATGTGCAGAAGCTTCTGCACATGTGCAGATCATCCATTATGACGTCCGGGTGGGTGCGTGGGCGGAGCCTCCCGCCACTTTTACTACTGGTTTGCAAGAACCGGAGAGAACCGGGAGCACCCCACCACTGAGTTATACAGTGTAGAAACAGCTGCTCTTATTTGAGTTGTGTTTTAGAATAATCATATTCCCTCTGCAGAACACAGCAACACTTTCAAACGTTACTGCCTGTTCTGTAATATATTTAACAGATGGGTTTTAAATGCGTCTAAGTCAATTAACTTGGGTATATCTAATTCTATATAGATTTGGGCTGCCTAGTAAGGGTGCACGCATCTGTCATTTTGTAGTTGGTGTTGCCACTATTCAAGAAAAGCATTAAATGTGCTTTCCCCTGTGACTATCGAAGTGGTTTCCTTGTTGCATAAATTGGAGCTAACGAGCAAATGTTATTTATTCTCTGCTTAAGATAATTGCCAGAATGTACAATGAACGATTTTCTGTTGAGGAATAAATGTCTGGCTGTGCAATCTTATACTTGTCTATTCAGAGGGTAAAGCCCCATTGATTTACTGCCTGTTCAACATATATAGAATTACAGTTTAATTACAAGAGAAGAAAAATAAATAAAATGGGATTTTTTTTTAATCATAGAATCTGTTTTCTGTAAATTAAGCAAAACTGTCCAGCAGAAATCTGTCTCCTTACTGGTTATAAATCTCTACTGAACATACTTCTCAATTAAATGCACTCCACACTGTTCTTAGAGGATGAAGCATTGTGTTAAATAAGAGTAAAGTATTAAAGTAATAGATGTTGATCTGGAGGTTGAGAGACTGCATCGGTTGGTGGGGACTTTCAGAAAAAAATATTTTTAGTAGTTTATGAGTTTTATACCAAAATCCTTCTCACCCAAACAGGCATTCAGAACAGTTGAAAGAAATTTGATAGCTTAATCTGCTTGGTAATGCTGACATTCTTTTTTGTTGTTGTTCTTTTTCATACCATGCAAATGGAAGGAAAAAAACATTCATGTTTTAGATGTCTATGGAGATTTATTTATTTATTTATTTATTTATTTATTTTCGTCAAGCATGTATTTTATGACAGATACAAGTGTAAACATAATTATAAATACATGAAAAGGATACGAATAAAAGAAAACATTAGGACAGGGACGGTAGGCACGCTGGTGCGCTTATGCACGCCCCTTACAGACCTCTTAGGAATGGGGTGAGGTCTACAGTAGACAGTCTAAGGTTAAAGTTTTGGGGTGTGGGGGAAGAAACCACAAGAGTTAGGTAGTGCATTCCAGGCGTTGACACCTCTGTTACTGAAATCGTATTTTCTGCAGTCTACTTTGGATCGGTTTACCATGAGTTTGTATCTATTGTGTGCTCTTGTATTGTTTTGTAATTGTAATTGTTTTGTAATCCAGATCATAATTGTTTCAAAGGTGCTTTTTCGAAAGGCAGCTGGACTGATTTTTCTTGAGGAAGAAGAAGACATGTTGCTTCTCATCCAAGAAGCTTCATCAGTTGTGCAAAACGTCTTCTTCCTCTTCCTCAAGATAAAAACAGTTCAGTTGCCTTTCAAAAAAAACACCTTTCAGTCATATTCTAAATCTATGTTTCTAATTTTAAGTGCATTTTATAATGGCATCCTAAGTCAAAGATTTGTTTTCTGCAAGTAGGTATTTTATATAATTTATATGGTGCTTTGTAACGTATTTTAGGAAAAATTGTATAAATTGCTTCATGCGCGAAGCGAACCGGAGGTAACACTGGTTGAAACCCACCACTGGCCATATTACTTCTTAATATGGTGGGGGGGGGGGCTTTATCTGTATTCAGTCGAGAATGTAGGCACAGCTAGACTATAGAAATGATAAAGGCCGTTGTATGTATCTCAGACTAGGAATGTTACAGTTTGATAAAAGTGTGTTCGTTGCTTCCAAATAAGACTGAGAATGTATTTTATCCAAAAACCAAAATCCTGGAGGAAAACCTCCACTACACTCCTCCCTATATTGGAGTCAAGTAGGGATAAATAATATAATTATAATTCTGATTGTATAAATGTTTTATATTCCCCCCATATTGGCCTATGCATTGCAATAGGTATAATATTTTATGGCTGAATTAATAGTATTATAAATAGTAAACACACCATAAAGGTTAAGGTAGTCCTTGCTTAGTTGGGGCCAGAATTATAATCACTAAGTGAAATAGTCATTACATGAAACATTATGTGACTGCATCACATAGCAAGGGCAGTTACGGTAGTCCTGGTTACAGTCGTTAGATAAGGACCTCCTGCTTCTCTTACCCTGCTGTGCTCATCTCTGCTTCAACTTTTCCACCCACCTGTTGGCCACCCTGAAATCCACCCCTACTGCATCCCCATCCCTGGCTTACCTTCACTACCTTCTTCCTCCTGCTGACAACAAGACACCTCTGGCTAAAACAGCTGCTGGCCCTTAGTGAGGCCTCTATAGTGCCTACATGGTGGCATCGCCCAGCTTCACTGAGGCTTCACTAATAGCTACCAGTTGCTTTGGCTGGAAGTGCCTCAATGGTATGGGAGACAGAAGATACTCCTAGGACCAGTAGTGGTAAGCAGTGGCACAGGAGACCCAAAAGAGAGAGATAAGAGGGAGATAGGCAAGAGAGGGGTGAAATACACCTTGCAGTCAAAAATGTGGACAGGTTGCCAAGCACCCAAATTTGATCACCTGACCATAGGGAAGTTGCAATAACTGTAACTTTGAGCTATGGTGGCACAGTGGTTAGAATGCAGTATTGCAGACTAACTCTGCCACAGTCAGGAGTTCAATCCTGACTCTCTCAAAGTTGACTCAGCATTCCATCCTTCTGGCATTGGTAAAATGAGGACCCAGATATTTGGGGTGGGCAGTATCTGATATTTGTAAATTGCTCAGAGAATCCTGTAAAGCACTATGGAACAGTATATAACTCTAAGTGCTATTGATATTTGAGGACTTTCCATAAGTAGCATTTGTTTGCGCCATCATAACTTTGAGTATTCACTGAATGGCTGTTCATTAAGTGAGGACTGTCTATATCCTGACATTAAACATGGATGAACAATAAACTCAAACATAGATGCAATGTTTGTAAGTGGAGCGCTAAACACAAAAGTGGAATCTTCTGTTATAAAATGCTTCACAAAAACAGAGCTAAGAAACTGATGTGTAATATTCTTGTGATCAATGTTATAACATTATTTACAGAAACATGAGTTCTGCTGGCCCCGAAGGGAGAAAGAAAATGAGGGAATGTGATGGATTGATTGACTCACTGGTGTATTATATACAAGGAACAACTGCAGATCGTAAACCAGATGATAAGGTAACTTTCCCAAACCAGTGAAATCTCTAGGATTAAGATAGAGAGCATTTCTTTCTGGCACTGTCTCCAAAGTGTGTTAATATTCAACCCCCTCTTATAAATCATCTAATGACTTTATGATGTGAGTTTTGGGGACATTCTGATGTTTTAAAAGTCTTTGAAAATCTAGCTGTTTTCTCAGGCTTTGAGGTAGGGTGATTGCTGAATCACTGTACTTATTCTGATTTTCTCCTCTGGACATCCATGAACAGTTTCTTAATTTTTATTATTTCTTGCTTTTAAAAGGAAAACTGACCAGAGTTGTTTGGAATCAGGCAGCTGCTGAAATATATGAATAATAAATCCATCTCCAGCTATAAAAGTCTTAGCCCCATGTTAATATATTCTGCTGAAAACAACTTGTTTGAGATTACCCAAAACACCACTACAAAGCACAAACACAACATATGCTAAAATACTACCGGAGATCTTTGCATCCTCCAGATGCTGCTCCCATGTTCTCAGCCATACTCCAATGTTGTCTTCTCTTCCTCTCTTTGAATTAAAAGGTTTAGAAGAGTTGATTAAGTATAAGGCATCCATCCTCCAGTTCTAAAACAATAGAAACTGAAATAGGTTAAGCTTTGACTTAATAGATTTATCTTAACTAAATGTAAGGTTTAAACAAGTAAAATTTAATACTTTAAATTCAATCCTAACTATCTGGCAGATTATTCAAGTATGAAATTTCTCATCTTTTACTAGTTGCTCTAAGTTGTGTGAGCTAAACACACAACTCCATTCATTCATTCCAGAACTCTGTTGTTTACCTGATAAGGAATTAGAGCTGATTTGAAAATTTGCAGTACTGCTGCTATCCACAATCTGCTAAGAACTATAAAACAAGGCCAATGATTATCTGAATGCTTGAATCTACAGTACATTTCAGATTTTTCCCCCTATTACTTATACAATCAGAGTAATGTATTGGTTCATTTTTTCCAGGCTACAGAGAATTGTGTGTGCATTCTTCATAATCTTTCTTACCAGTTAGAGGCTGAACTCCCTAATAATTATACTGAGAGACTTTATGTGCCAAAAAGAGATGATCCATCCAGGAACAACATTGGATGTTTTGGAACAAGGAGCAGGAAAGCAAAGCAGGTAACAGAGATGTAAGGAGGGAACAACAGTGTTGCAATAGACAGCCCAATTTCTCGGAGAAACCTTTGTCTGAAACTCACACTTATCCATAATGAGATATCCCTAGAAGGATCCTACTGCGAATGCTTGGAATTTTAATCCTAATAGATGGGCAATATTTTGAAGGTTGACTAATGTAGAATATATATGAAATTTGCAAATATATTGGGTGAAAAAGATTCCTTAAATATTAAACAATATTCATAACATAAAGATAAGCAGTCCTTGACAGTAAGGAGAAAAAATCTAAAAAGTACAGATGGGGATTATTTTGATGGACAGATGGATGCATTCATGCATGCGTTATGTACCATCGAATTGTCATTGACTCTTAGCAGCAACATAGACAGACCTTCTCCAGGATTAAACATATTTATTAGGACTAAACCAGAATGCTATAGAAAACTTGCTAATCTTATAGAACAATTCATCATGTCCGATGGTATAAAATTTAAGGTATGAAATTGTGACCAAGTTTGTAAGATTTCAAGACAAATTTGTTAATCTAGTTTTTGAGATGTCTCCTCACCCCAGATGTTCTGTGGATCTAACAATTATTTAAGATTATAAAGATGGAGCCAGTGTAAACTAACAGAGAGGTGTTAAATCATATAAAACCAGACACATCACTGGAAGCTGAAATCATAAGACTACTTCTAATTTACTTTGGCCATGTTATGTGTGTGAATTCATTGGAGAAGGCAATGTTACTAGGAATGGTTAGTGGACAGAGAAGAAGGAGCAAGCAAAGAACACGCTGGCTTGATAACATCATATATGATGCAAAGTTGAACATAAAATTGAAAGAAGCTGTGCATGACAGGGTAGCATGAAGAGCACTTGCCTATAAAGTCACCAAGAGTCGGACACAACTAAATGGTTAAAAACACAACCTAAAGATAGATCTCTAACTTATAGAAAAATATAGCCATTAGATGTGAATTTCTTTCCTCTTTGAAGTATACTGTGTTTTGGATGAAAATAAAACTGGTCATCCCCAATAATCATAAATAATCAGCAGATGCAGCAATAATCTCTTTTCCCTGATCGTTCTTAATGATCAATCTTTACGTGGCTGCTGAAATAGGAGTTACAGAGGGTTTATGCACTATTAAACCCAAACAACGATTTACGTAGGCATTCATCAAAATTTATTTATTTTATTTATTTATTTTTCTTATACTTATATGCCGCCCTTCTCCCGAAGGACTCGGGGCAGCTCACAAAATTTAGGACTGTTGGTCTCTGTATTTTACTAGCTACCATTAAGGAGCTAGACTAGCTGTACTCCAAGAAGACTTTGATTCTTTCTCACTTCATTTCTGAAATATTAATCTGTTTGCCTTTTTAGAAGCAACAAGATACGCCTCTGCCAGAAGAAAAAAGTAACCCCAGAGGCGTTGAAAAGCTCTGGCATTCCACACTGATCAGGATATATTTGTCCCTAATAGCAGAAAGCACTAGAAACTTCACTCAAGAAGCATCTCTGGGCGCTCTGCAGAACCTCACTGCTGGCAGTGGACCAGTAAGTATCTGAAAAGGAAATAGATGTGGCTGGTATTAATACTGTTATTTTACTGTTGTTTCTCTTGGATAAGCTCAGAGCAGCACATAGAGAAAAAAAAAACCTTATAATGGAGCCACAGGGAATAGAACAGAATGGTTAAACCAGTATAACATTAATCTGGTCAACAATAAAGAGGTGGTATTCAGCCGGTTCTGACCAGTTCTGGAGAACTGATAGCAGAAATTTTGAGTAGTTCGGATAACTGGCAAATGCCACTTCTGGATGGCCCCGCTCCCGATCTATTCGCTGCCTCCTGAGTCCCAGCTGATCGGCTGGGTCGTCTTTTGTTGCCCTGCACAGGAGAATGGAGCTGGAAAGCTGGTTAGTGGGGTGGGGATGGAATGAAGATTTTGCAGTATCCTTCCCCTGCCATGGCCACCAAGCCCACAGAACCGGTAGTAAAAAAATTTGAAACCCACCACTGAATAAAGACGACTAAGACAATTTACAAATTGCCCTGCTGGTACCTAGTCTCATTTTATTTTAATATTTGGGAGTGGGTCAACTATCTAGAGGAGACTACAAAGGAAGAGCTGGTCTCTAGTTGCTGTTTGTCTTTTAATTGTTACGAATGTCTAGGGAACATTAATGCCTACCTTTGTAACAAAGATACCTGATTTATTTCATTTTGAGGTGCTCCTAGACAAGGAGGATGAAAAGGAAAGGATAGAACCCATGTTATTTGGGAAGCATGAAATTAACCATGGCCCAGTGACTAGCATAGTGAGATGAGGAAGCAACATGACCAACAGGGAGGAGGGGGGAAACAGGGTCATAGTGGGGCCATAAATGATGTGGGGCAGAGCTGACTCCATTTGGATAAGTGCCAATATGTTGCTCCTAATAAATAACTGGATTTCTTTTGAAACCTGGCTCGATGTTCATGGATGCCCTCACACTAGCCTTTGGAAAGGAAGACAAAGAGAATAAGGGAAGAGTTTGCAACTAAGTGAAGTTAACAGGACATCTTAAGGAGGTCTACCAGCACCAAAATTTGCTGTACCAAGTTGGGCCTCACTTATTTTTCTTTCACCATGCTTCTGTAATTTGAGTATGGCCTTCTGTATCTTTCAGCAGTAGCAGAAACTTGTGATGCTTCTTCAGTCAGACATTTCTACCAATAACCACCACCACCATTTTTGAAAAAGCATAAATTGACAAAGCACCATCCTCTTGCAAAAGCACTTTGTATAATTGGGGTGTTGCTTGGTGGGTGCTTTTATTCTTTATTTTCCTTTTAAAAACAAAACACTTTGAAGGAATTCCTGTACAGCTCCAGGTCTGGGTTAAAGTCTTCAAGGGACATTTCTAGGTCTGTTCTCCTAGCATCCCTTCCTTTCTAAGGAAACCATCAGTATCGCCTGCCACAGAATTTTGATCTTCTTTGGAGGAGGGGATATTTTCTTAATATTTGAAATGCCTTTGCTTGGGGACTGACAATAATAACAATCCTCTTTCTGGACGAAAATTATGCACTGTATACAAGATTTTAGGAGCCTTGGTGGCGCAGCAGACTAAACTGCTGTTAAAGTAGCACTTAGCTGCCAGCTGCCTGCAATTACTACGAGTTCAATTCTCACCAGGCTCAAGGTTGACTCAGCCTTCCATCCTTTCGAGGTAGGTAAAATGAGGACCCGGATTGTGGGGGCAATAAGCTGACTTTGTATAAAATAGAACACCGCTTAGGGGAGGCCAAAAAAGCCCTACTAAGCAGGTATATACAAAAATATGAAGGCTATTGCTTAACGCATTGTAAGCCGCCCTGAGTCTCTGGAGAAGGGCGGCATATAAATTGAACTAATAAATAAATAATAAATAAATAAATAAATATGGAGGGGTGAATTCCCTAAATCTAAAAGCTGTATGTGTTTCCTGACAGATGCCATTTGGGGTGGCTCATATCATTGTCAAGAAGGTCAATGGCCTCCCAAATATTCAAAGCATGCTACATGTGAGCAACGTAAGCGTCAGGAAAACAGCAATCTCCCTCCTCAGGAACTTGTCTCGTAACACCTTGCTGCAAAATGAAATAGGTAAATACACACTCCTAATGAAGATTATTTGCATGGGTTTTAATTGCATGATAGGATGTTAATGATGTTGAACTAGACCTTTAGCAGAAGATTCCCACTATTTCTTCAATATGCTATCAAGGCTGAGAGTGAATTGCATCCAATTTAATCTTTTTGAGGTGATAAGGTTGATAATGTAATGGCTAGCCACAAGACACTATTTTAGTTGTTTGGGAATCAGAATTGTACAGGTATAGTGGCATCCACTAGTTTTTGCCAAATTGTGAAGGTCCAAATGTGTTGAAGGTCCAAATTGCAGAAGATCTGCAGCCATTTGAAATGTTGGGATTTTGCAAGCCCTACAAAATTTGGAGGGCTTCAGATTATGAAATATAATCTGCAGGCCAATGCTGTTATCCAGCTACATGCCTACCCATAAATCCCAACATTTTCATGGAGTAAATTTGCAAGGGAGGGGGGAATTGGAAAATTTTCATTAGAACTAAATATGGTACCATTTAGTTAGATACAAGCATATTTTAAAGAACGTGGGCCGAGTATATTTAACCTTTAAAATAAGGGCACATCTTGGTTAATTTTCAGCCAGAGTACTATTGCCAGAATTGATTGCCATGCTGCCAAATTACGTCCCAACGTCCGATGTGGAAAATGAGATTGCGGCTTCTGCTTGCTATGCTTTGTACAACCTGACTCAAAACAATTCCTCAAACGCTCGGCTTCTCTTGAACAATGATGGCATTTCAAAGGTTATGAATATCAGCACAAATGACAAGTAGGTATCCATTCCTAAAATGAATATCTGTAATACTTAAGCTTGCAGCCAAAAATTGCATGAAGGAGAGAGTTTTTCTGTTCTTGTTTTTTAAAAACATGTTTAAAGGGAGTCTGAAAATACATATTTTTATGGCCTCTGATCTCTTCTGCCTGTCCTTTTCCTGTGCCCTTCATTTGGATCTTTTATTTTCCCTTACTAGGTTTTTTTAAAATTGAAACTCTGTGAAACATTTTGTTCTTCTCAATGCTGGTACAATGCTGAACTGCTTTAAAAGTTCTTTTTTTTACTATTTTTCTCAGCAAAAGTGGTAGAGCCGCCTCAATCCTCTTGTATTCCTTGTGGTCTCATGCTGATCTCCACAGTGCTTACAAAAAGGTAAGCTAACAGACAAGATGGGAATCTTTTGAAAATGCTTTACAAACCTTTGGGTTATTTTTCTGGGTCCCTGTTAAAAAATCCACATTCTGACCAACTCAACCAAAGCCTTTTCAATCTAAAGACCTGACCCATGCAGTGTTTTATTTTTCTTCCTTGGTGTCAGCTTTCTTCGTTTTTAAATGAATGTCATACTTTAATTTATTTTTGTTATTCGAAATATTTTAAAACTGAACCCTAATTAACCCTATTAGAGATTTGGAATTGTTAATTAAGATGGAAATTCATGTACTTTTGTTAGGTTTGCCATGGTGCTATACTCACTGTAGAAAATACTTTTATGAATAGAATACGCAAAACATTTTTTCTACTGGAAAGTAGCATTTACTAACACTTTCTGCTTCTGCATTCTTTTAGACAGGTAACACCTGTTTTCCCCCTTAACCCTTTTTTGTTTGTTTGTTTTTTCAAACAATGGGAAAGTTTCCTAGAGATAACACAACCAACACAGGCCCCAAAGGCTTCCAAGTTTATTTATTTATTTATTTATTGGTTCGATTTATATGCCACCCTTCTCCGGAGACTCAGGGCGGCTTACAATGCATTAAGCAATAGCCTTTATACTTTTGTATATACCTGCTTAGTAGGGCTTTTGGCCCCCCCTAAGCGGTGTTCTTTTTTATACAAAGTCAGCTTATTGCCCCCACAATCCAGGTCCTCATTTTACCTACCTTGGAACGATGGAAGGCTAAGTCAACCTTGAGCCTGGTGAGATTTGAACTCGCAGTAATTGCAGGCAGCTGGCAGCTAAGTGCTACTTTAACAGCACTTTAGTCTGCTGCACCACCAAGGCTCTTCCCAATGAGCAAGAAAGTATTCCTTTCCACATTAAGCTTCTCAAGTATCCCACCTTTAAATCAGAGGACCACAAGCTGAATTCCCAGGGCTGCACTTAGCTGTAAAAGTTTTAGGGTCAGTCTCAAAAACAGAATGATCAAATTGTCACTTGTAATGTTACCAAAAGAGAAAACCATTAAATACACCACAGGGAAGTAATTCCATCAAATATGTTTAAGAGCCTTGGTACTACAGGGGTTTAAGGCACCCTGTTATTAAGCTTATTAAGACCAGCTGCCTGCAATTACTGCAGGGTTCGAATCTCGCCAAGGCTCAAGGTTGACTCAGCCTTCCATCCTTTCTAAGGTAGGTGAAATGAGGACCCAGTTTGTGGGGGCAATAAGCTGACTTTGTATAAATATACAAAAGGATGAAGGCTATTGCTGAGCACATTGTAAGCCGCCCTGAGTCTCCGGAGAAGGGCGGCATATAAATCAAATTTAAAAAAAAAAAAAAAATTCAATTAAGTGTGAATGAAACTGAAAAAGAAATGTTGATTTGCCCTGGACCAATTTTAGAACATAGCCTCTGGCATACCAATCAAAAATTAATTGTGGCAACTAATTGGCCCAACAGAGGTTGCAAGTTCCTGCTTCATTTGCAACATTCAGTTTGTTTCTGTCAAGGGCTACAAGCCCATTTAAATTAATAGAAATTTTTCACATGTGTAAATTCAATAAACACCATCAATCGGTGTCAAATTAAATGTAATTTTAATTGCATGATTAACTTCTATGTTTACTTTTTTATGTAATACTACAGAAGGTTGTTTTCATAGGGATCACAGTGCATTCCTCCCTACCTCGTCACAATCCTGACAAATACATATTTTTATATATTTGTTTATGATCATGATAACGATCTAGGCTAGTTGTCTAGTACTCCCAAAAGTGTTGAGACTGCAGGTCTCCAAGTTACTAGGCAGCGTGACCAACAAATAGAGGCCAATAGATATGAATAGTTGGTCTACACCGGAGGTCTTCAAATTTGGCAGCTTTAAGACTTGTAGACTTCAACTCCCAGAATTCTCCAGTCAGCATAGCTATGCTGGCTGGAGAATTCTGGGAGTTGAAGTCCACAAGTCTTAAAGCTGCCAAGTTTGAAGATCTCTGGCCTACACCCTCCTGAGTCCCAACCTCATTTAAGTGTCTTTCAGATCCACACTAATTTAAATCAATTAAACCAACCTCAATCCAATCTTAGAAAAAAAATGAATTGATATCCTTTCTAGGCTCCCAAAGTAGCTTCAATAGGATGTGCAATCTCATTCCTAATAAATGTTTAATAATTTACCTTTATGTTTTCAATGAGAATTTACCTCTGTGTTCCTGAAATTGTAATTAACTATATTACATTTCCTTTTATTTTTTTTATTTTTACTTTAAAGGCTGGATATAAGAAAACGGATTTCATCAACAATCGAACATTAAGAGCCTATAATTTACTGAGAGACTGAAAACCTGGACAGGCCTATTGTTTTTGTGGAAAAACAATACAAACATGTTAGCATCGTTCACTTAGTGCCAAGAACGGAGAAAAAGTGAGAGAGTGTTTTATATTTACGACGGGTGTCTGGAATAAAGTGCTGATCCCCATATTATCTGTCATTATAGCCATGCTTATTGTTCTTCTTAAAATCAAGATTCATCTATAAACATAATGAATTCCAAGCTGAAGCCTAACAAATAATTTTAATCTCAAGCCTGAAACACAACCATTGCACACATTATACTCGGTCAGTTTGAGGGCAATTGTCCACATCAATGTCTTCATTTTGTATTATGGGAAAGTAATAACCAAAGAAGATGGGATGTGGGGATTCTTGCTGAAGTCTTGTGTTAGTTTTCTTTTTGCTAAACTTATTATAGTGAGTGAGTGCTCCATGCAAAACTGCCTCTTATCATTTTATGAAAGTGCAGACTTTTGTATAATCTGTTTTTAAATAATATTTTCCCAGGTTGTAATTTTTCAGTATAATCCTGCATGTATGGTTACTGGGTTTTTTTTTTTAACTGAAGTATTGTTGAAGATATTTTTAAAATTCCTTATACTTACACCCTGAATTTACCAGTGCAGGAGACTTTTCAAAATTTGTTGTATAAAATTTGTTCTAACAATGCCAAGTTGCTACCCTAGAGTGTGGTCTCTTTTATGATCATTTTGACCAGAGGAACCAAATGTTTCTAATGGTTTTAATTATAACATTCATTGGGAATAGAAACAGAATAGAATAGAATAGAATAAATAGAATAGAATAGAATAGAATAGAATAGAATAGAATAGAATAGAATAGAATAGAATAGAATAGAATAGAATAGAATAGAATAGAATAGAATTTTTTATTGGCCAAGTGTGATTGGACACACAAGGAATTGTCTTAGTGCACATGCTCTCAGTGTACATAAAGGAAAAGATACGTTCATCAAGAATCGTAAGGTACAACACTTAATGATAGTCATAGGGTACAAATAAGCAATCAGGAAACAATATCAATGGGCATCTGCTGTGCGTGTATGTGTGTGTGTGAGAAAGAGATCATTTGTGATGCTGTCATACAAAAGACGCAATTAATGCATATTGCATAATTAGCATCATTTGCATCACTATGTCACTTAGGTAAGATGGGTGGTGTAGAAATTTAATAAAGACGATAAATAAATAAATAAACTCTGTCACGGTGCATGTAACTCCTGCCTGACAACTCGACTATAGAAATGGCGTTTATTTAGGAAATTTATTTATTTACCGTAGGAAAATTTATATTGCCACCTATTCGCACATGGCGACTCAAGGTAGCTTACAAGAATATAAAAACCTCATATAAAAAACAGTAAAACTAATAAAAGAATCATATAATAAATTAATAAAAGATACAGAAGGATCTTGACAGACTTGAACATTGGGCGCTATCTAACAAAACGAAATTCAATGGTGAAAAAAGTAAGGTTCTACATTTAGGAAAGAAAAACAAAATGCACATGTATATGTGGTACCTTGCTCAATAGTAATAACTGTGAGATGGATCTTGGAGTCCTAGTGGATAATCATTGAAATATGAGCCAGCAGTGTGCAGCAGCTGCCAAAAAAGCCAACACAGTTCTCGGCTGCATAAACAGAAGGATAGAATCAAGATCACGTGAAGTGTTAATTCCATTTTATAATGCCTTGGTAAGGCCACACTTGGAATACTGCATTCAGTTTTTGTTGCCACGATGTAAAAAAGATGTTGAGACTCTAGAAAGAGTGCAGAGAAGAGCAACAGAAATGAAAGAGGAGGTGGTGAGGCCTCTCCTCAAGAAGCCATCCCTGGATCCGGCAATATTGGCCAACTACCGTCCTGTCTCCAACCTTCGCTTCCTGGCGAAGGTTGTTGAGAGTGTGGTCGCGCGACAGTTTCCGCAATTCCTGGAGGAAACATCCTATCTAGATCCGTTCCAGTCGGGTTTCAGGCCTGGGCACAGCACGGAAACGGCATTGGTCGTGTTGGTTGATGATCTCTGGAGGGCTCGGGACAGGGGTTGCTCCTCTGTTCTGGTCCTGTTAGACCTCTCAGCGGCTTTTGATACCATCGACCATGGTATCATGCTGCACCAGTTGGAAGAGTTGGGGATGGGGGACACCATGTTACGGTGGTTCTCCTCCTTTCTCTCCGACCGGTCGCAGTTCGTGTTGGCAGGGGGGCAGAGGTCGACCTCGAGGCCTCTTATATGTGGAGTGCCTCAGGGGTCGGTCCTCTCGCCCCTCCTGTTCAACATTTATGTGAAGCCGCTGGGTGAGATCATCCGTGGCTTTGGGGTGAGATACCACCAGTACGCTGATGACATCCAGTGTACATCTCTACCCCAGGCCACCCCAACGATGCCCTTGAAGTGATGTCCCAGTGCCTGGAGGCTGTGCGGATCTGGATGGGGAGGAACAGGCTCAAGCTCAACTCTTCCAAGACTGAGTGGCTGTGGCTCCCGGCATCCCGATATAGTCAGTTGACTCCATCACTGACTATTGGGGGTGAGTCGTTGGCCCCCACAGAGAGGGCTCGCAATCTGGGAGTCCTCCTGGATACGCAGCTGTCCTTGGAGGAACATCTGATGGCTGTAACCAGGGGGACCTTTTGTCAGGTTCGCCTGATTCGCCAGTTGCGGCCCTTTCTTGATCGGGATTCCCTGTGCACAGTCACTCATGCCCTCGTCACCTCTCGCCTTGACTACTGCAACGCTCTCTACATGGGACTCCCCTTGAAGAGCACCCGGAGCCTCCAGCTGGTCCAGAACACAGCAGCGCGGGTAGTGACAGGAGCAGCATGGCGCTCCCATGTAACACCACTCCTGCGTGAGCTGCACTGGCTCCCGGTGGTCTTCCGGATGCGCTTCAAGGTGTTGGTTATCACCTTTAAAGCGCTCCATGGCATAGGGCCTAGCTATCTTCGAGACCGCCTGCTGCCACCGACGACCTCCCATCGACCTGTGAGCTCCCACAGAGAGGGCCTCCTCGGGGTGCCATCAGCCAAACAGTGCAGGCTGGTGACCCCCAGGGGGAGGGCCTTCTCTGTGGGGGCACCTACCCTCTGGAATCAATTGCCCCCAGAGATAAGGAGAATCCAAGACCTCAGTGCCTTCCGCCGTGCCCTTAAAACCTTCCTTTTCCAGCAAGCCGGGCTGGCCTAATTTGTTTAAGTGTTTTTAATTGTTTTGTTTATCGTTTTTAATTAATGGGGCCAAATTTATATATATATTTTAATTGTATTTTAATATTTGTACTTGATGTTTTTACTTGGCTGTTCACCGCCCTGAGTCCTCAGGGAGAAGGGCGGTATACAAATTCAAAATAAAATAAAATAAAATAAAAATTAGGGGACTGGAGGCTAAAACTTGAAGAATGGCTGTAGGAACTGGATATGTCTAGATTAATGAAAAGAAGGACTAGGGGACACATGATAGCAGTGTTTCAATATCTCAGAGGTTGCCACAAAGAAGAGGGAGTCGAGCTATTCTCCAAAGCACCCGAGGGCAGAACAAGAAGCAATGGGTGGAAACTAATCAAGGAGAGAAGCAACTCAACAAGTAAGGAGGAATTTCCTGATAGTTAGAACAATTAATCAGTGGAACAACTTGCCTCCAGAAGTTGTGAATGCTCCAACACTGGAAGTTTTTAAGAAGATGTTGGATAACCATTTGTCTGAAGTGGTGTAGGGTTTCCTGCCTAAGCAGGGGGTTGGACTAGAAGACTTCCAAGGTCCCTTCCAACTCTGTTATTCTATTCTATTCTATATAAAATAACCCCCCGTCTCAGCAACAACACGTCGCATGAGCCATTTAATGGGCGCCATCCCGCTCTGCATTCCCCAGGCCCGCTGGCAGAACCAGGTCTTCAGCGCCTTCCAGAAGAGTGTTAGAGTGGGGACTGTTCTAATTTCTGGGGGAATGATGTTCCAGAGAGAGGGAGCCACCACGGAGAAGGCCCTTTTTCTGGGTCCCACCAGGTGTACCTCCCTAGGGGATGCATTGCACATACTCAGTTGAGGACTGGTGATGTCCTCCCTTAGTTATCCTAAATACTTGTGAGATGGGCTGTGTGGGCCAGTTTCTCTTTCGCCAAAGCAACAGGCAAGACTCCATTTACAAGTTCAGACACATGAAAAAATAATATAGGCATGAGAAGATACTGTGGGTCTGCGCTGCATGTAAAAGCAAAGGTGAAAGACTCCAGAATACCTGACAGAGCGCTGAATAGTAGCACACATTAAGAGTGGCTTAATTATTTATGTTACCCACACAGTCATAAAATGCCCTTGTTTATTGTTTAAATTGAATTTAGACCGTGTACATGCTGCTCGCTCTCTTTAACAGCTCAGTGCAACTTGTTTCATGTGGCTGGTGAGAAATGGAATCCGTCCCTCTCCACTGAAATAACTTTACAATCGTTTTTTAGGAATACGTGCACAGGAGATATTTATTTAGCCTTCCCACACCCATCTCAACAATGCATTCTTTCTAGGAGAAGCTAAGAGACTCACCAGAGGGTGTGACCTTCTCGGTGTTACTGTGAAATTCTATTTATTGTTGCAATGCTGAAAATTCTTTGCTTGTGAATGGCAGAGAGGATGTGTTAAATCCATTCAGACTTTCCAACTGCCAATTCTTTTCCGTGTAATGTTTTTACTTTAGTCTCTGCAGTGATTTTAACACAGCATCAGATCTAGACGGACCTAGAAACCAAACACAACATGCAAGATACACAACAGGGAAGCTTTTCTGAAAAATAAACTTGGTTTGTTTGGGTTAAATTCCTGCCTGGTGTTCCAAATACATCCTTGTATTATTCCTGCATTGTAGATTTAGGTGTGTAGTTAAAAATACGGAATGATTCTACATGCGATCATAAAAATAAAGTTCTGTAATCTTACTCCACGTACAAAAAATCATTTTGGCCCACAAAAGGAAGCTTGCTGCCACCATCAGCACATTCTTTGAAAAACAGTTAATGTTAATATGGATATTGTAGCTCAGGAAGCTGAATTTCTCATCCGGGGTCCAGATAATGCTGATCCCAACTCCCATCATCCCTCTGTTTGAGTTGATTGAGAATCATAGGATTTGCAGTCCAGCAATATCTGAGCCATTTGGATGTACTTAAAGCACTCTCTGTTTTCTCAGACCTGAATCATTTTTTGAGAAGAAATTGTACAACTAGCAATAGAACTTAGACTTATATATTGCTTCACGGTGCTTTTCAGCCCTCTCTAAGCGGTTTACAGAGTCAGCCCCCGACAACCTGAGTCCTCATTTTACTCACCTCGGAAGAATGGAAGGCCAAGTCAACTTTGAGCCTGGTGAAATTTAAATTACCAAATTGCAGGCAGCAGGCAGGCAGCAAAAGTAGCCAGCAGTACTGCATTCTAACTACTGCGCCTCCGCAGCTCAAATCAATCTTAACTCATTGGAAATGCCAAAATCAGAAAATAGGGGTGCAAACAGAGGAGAGTTTTCCTGCAAACAGAAGCATCTTAGCAGTTTGGTGTTAGAAATCAGGATTGAGAGGTGCCAGCTCTCATTTAGGTGGAAGCTGAGAGCTTCCAGTATTCAAGTTCCCAGCTGAGTGCATCCTGATGTTGGAATAAATTCTTGATGTTTGGACCAAT